ATGTGTAACGCTTGTCAACATGTGTTTGTATGTTCTTATTGGACATGAATAAAAACATTGTTCAAATAAAAAAAACAAGAAGAGGCTTTTCATTATGTGTAACGCTTGTCAACATGTGTTTGTATGTTCTTATTGGACATGAATAAAAACATTGTTCAAATAAAAAAAACAAGAAGAGGCTTTTCATTATGTGTAACGCTTGTCAACATGTGTTTGTATGTTCTTATTGGACATGAATAAAATCATTGTTCAAATAAAAAAAACAAGAAGAGGCATTAAATCACAAAACAAAGCCTAGAAATATGGACACTGCTACAGCTAGTCCCGATGCAGTGATTGATCATTAGCCCAAAGCAGGAGCTAATGTCCTGTATGGTTTAGATTGGTCTCTGCCTTCATCTGAATCAAGTAATGAGGTCATTAGCAGAACTCGGCTCATGCTGAGGAAGTAATCCACTCATTTGATGACAGACAGACAATATAATATCTAGAATTCACAGAACATCGACCCAAAAGGTTCATAAGTTTGTTTGTTGATTGAACAAATCTGTGATGGACGTCATGGTCTGTCTGGGAAAGCTGCAGTTGATCAGCAGACCCCCCACCTGTGGAGCAAGGCTGGACGTCTGTCTCTTCCCGCTATGGGAGTCTGGCTTTGGCTCTGATTCTGGGATTTCTGCATTCAGCTTTGCAGAAACAGTCTGACCAATGTCTGAACTGCATTGACTAATTGAGGTAGTTGAGTTGCTACTGAACGTTTACCCACTTCTTATTTTAGATGTTGAAGCCATTGAACATCCTAACAGCCACGGCTGGTTTCTGCATCGCTATGATTACATGAGCTAACATAGGAAATCACAGTGATTAATATAATGAAGAGAAGAGAAAGGTTAGGGGTAGTCTATTACATGCTACCTATTACATAAAATCTATGATCTATTATTAAAATCTATTCTGTAATCTATTACCAACTCACAGTCTGCACGCCTTCAGGAAAGACGTATGTGATCTTCAGTGTGTTGGCATCAGGAAAACTGGGCATGTGTTGGTGGAGGACCTCCCACGTCATCTGCCCCAAGGGTTGAGAGCCAAATGAAGACGCATTCACTGAGAAAGCAAGATCATTTCCATTAGATCCTCTGCAGGTAGAAGCTGCTGATCAGTGAACAGGTTGGTGTAACAGACCTTGTTTAGCTAGAGACTGAGGACCACGTCCCTTCAGAAAACGATTGACTTCCAGTTTGTCGCTGCTCTGACCTGAACCCATCCTGAGGAGAAGGAAACAGAAACATGATCAACCGTCTCCTGCGTTAGGAATACCTCAGCATGTAATGCTCTACAAAGCCAGTATGGTTTATATCAAACCTTCAGCAGATGAAAAAATACAGAGTGCTTCACAATAAAACGGATTAAAATAAGGTTAAAAATGTCTGATGAAATATTTAAACCCGATAACATTTTAGAAGCTCCTCGAGAAAAAACTAGTTTGGCTGTTTTTTCGATGTCCTAAAGGGTTCATGTTAAAGGCATTTCTAAATAAGAAAAAGTGTTGTGTTCTAAAATAAAAAAAACAACATAAAAATAAAAGAATTATTTATTGAGTTGCAACAGCCTGAAATGATGAAATGAAATAATGAAGGACCGGAGGGCGCGAGTTAGAGCATGACACGCTAACGGTTCATCCATATAGGAAGGAATGTCGTCATGTGGAAAAAGATTTTGGAATAGAGTCTAAAAATTAAACATTTTTATTAAAGGCGACTGATTGAGCCTTTCTCCTAGTTTAAGGTGGACTTTGATGATCTAAAGCTTTACTGAAGATATAGCTGAAAACTGTGTTGGAATAAAGATATTGACCTTCTAAAGACATTGATGCTGCCTTCATTCCTGAGGTTTGGGCCAAAGGCCCAGTAACATTCATGGACCTGTTATCTCCAAGGCGGAGGTCCTGGCAGTCCAAGCAGATCTCTGGTTTGTCATTTTCTTGATGCACTGAACTGATAAAGAACTGACCTGAGCAGCACAGCTGGACGCCTTCAGCATGAAGCAAACAGAGACGAGACATCTGTCCAACCAGGTGCACATCAAGGAATGATCTTATTTTCTGGACCTTTTGTCTCTGTTTAAATTTTTATTTTTGGGTTCTCAAATTTGCATTGTTTTATTTGTTTTCTAGATTTAGATCATCTTTGTATTCTTAGCTCTTCCTGGTTTACTCTTTAGCATCTTTGCTTTATTTATTCCTTAGTTTAGTTTTAATTATAGTTATTCTTACTCTCATCTTTAGCTCAGGTTTTCCATGGCTTCTCCAGTTCTTTCTCTTATCTACTAGTTTTTCCCTTGCTTGGTCATTCCTTAGTTTGTAGTCATCAGTTTTATTCCCCTTTAGCCTTATTTACGTCATTTCTTGTTATTTTAGCTCCTGTTGTTTCTCCCTGGTCATTCTCTGCTGCCCCCTAGTGTCCTTTCTTTTCCCCTTAGCTCCTTCTAGTTACTTCTGTCCACACCTGCTCCCTCTTAGCTAATCCCTCCCTCTGCGTTTGGGTCCACCAACCCTGACAGAGATGGCCCATACAAACCTGTGGAGTTTCCCAAAAGTTAGATCAGTTTATTTTGACTTTATGTTATTTTTACAGACTGAAGCTTCAGTTTAAAGACAATATCGAAATATTAATGGAACATTAAGAAGGATCCCAGCCATCTAAGCAAAATAGCACATTTGCACCTGATTTGCTTAGCACCTATGCACAACACATGTTCCCTAAAGTGTTCCCTTTCATGCGCCCTGGCTACCAAGATGGCGGCATAGAGTTCTAAGTCATTGAGTTTCTGGTAAAGATGGTACCACATTCACGTCTCTAGCTTAAATCCTCCATCAGAGAACCAAGAACTAAGGGTTAGCTTAGTTAGGCGGAGCCTTAAGGTGAGCTCAGAAAGGGTCTGATCTGGGTCACGTCCCCCATCCTGAGACGGATCGTCTATGGCGTCAGCATTCTGCTAAAACTGCAGACACCAATGAATGCTCCAATGAGCAGCTTTAATTCATACAGCAGCTTATAAAATGCTCCTAAAGGGCATTTTTTACGCGTAACGTGCAAATAGAGAACAATGGAGCGCCAGTATATCCCACAGGAGCGTTTGTGTCTGCGCCACCTGGTTTGATTTCCAGGCGTATGCAGCCTCTTCCTGTAGATCTGTTTCTAATAGATCCTTTCAGCTTTAGTCACTTTGAAGGCGTTGTGCACCTGACCAAGCAACCACCTGTGATTGGCTGCTTTTCAGTAAATCCCACCTACTGAGTGGTGACAAGTTGCCAAGGTAACCAGTTTAAACTGTCTTCCCATTTCCAGCTAATGTTTGAGCTAGCAGAAACTATGATGCTATTCGACCAGAACTTTCTTTGTAGATATCCAATAACGCTTTTCAATGGAAACTCCATAGCCAATCAGAATCCAGGATTCATCCAGACCAAGTTATATTAATGATGACTTTGGTTACTTCCAGCTCTATCCTGAAGTTAGCTAGCAGGAAGAAGAGAGGCGGGATTTTCTGATAAGTAGCCAATCACAGACGGGCTGCTTTGTCTGGTGGGTAACGCCTTCAAAGTTGACATTAGCGAATAGAAGCAGGTCTCTACAGGCGAGTAGGAGAGAATCTATAGATGTATAAAAGCAGAGACAGAGAATCACAATTGAGATTATTTGGAGCCTTATAGTTTTAAATCTATAGAAGATTCAAAATATGCATGAAGAGTAGTTTATATGTGTGTGTTTGAAATAAAACTGCTCATATGAGAAACTATCACACGTGTGGACTTCAGCAAGGGTCATAATCGATGTCAGACTTTCCATTCTGCTCCTGTAGAAATGTAAAAAAGAAACACAGCTGACATGTTTTCTGCCTGATCTCCTCTGTTTTCCTCAGGGTTTAGGTTTAGAGTCATGGAGGAGCGTTTTCTCTGACTCCTTTTTTCTCTTATCTTTTAGATCATATGAAAAGACTGGCAGCCAAAGAACCAAATGTTTTTCACTGCTGCTGGATGTTAGCAGCTGATAAAGAAGCCGGTCAGACTCATAAATACATAGAAGGAAGGATCTCTGACATTTCTATCGGTAAATCTTTTATAAACATGCTACCTGTGGAGTTCCTGTAGATCTGCTCATCCCCTTCATATCTACATAGCTGCATACAGCGATCAAACGGCAGGGGAAACTTGGACCAGTATAACACCGGTGTAATGCAGAGATTATACCAGCAGGTAGGCCCTGTGGCAGGAACATGCAGCGATCCTCTGATCTATGAAGGAAAACTGGTTCAATCCGACTTTTAACTGGTACTTTTAACCCGAGCTGGAAGAATAAAATGCTCCCCAATGGTCAGCTTTGTGGAAAGCTGCTGTTGTCTGTAAAATAAATCCTGTAAGTTAGGTTTCCTAATGAACACGACTGAGTCAAAGGATTGACAATATCTAGAATATTCTCTGCTCTGCGGCTCACATTCCAAAAGTTCCTACCAACAGAACGTCACATCTAGAAAACCATTCATGTTTATTCCTGAATCCTGCTGTTTAAAAACAAAGGATCAACTTTAGCTTTTTACTACGGTAAAACTGGAAAAGTACAATTTTTAAAACTAGTTAAACTATAAAAGTAAAAGTAATGCAGAAAAAAAAATAATAATAATAACTTTGATTTATATAGCGCCTTTCAGGACACTCAAGGTCGCTTTACAAGAGGTGAAGTAAGGGGGGGTAGGGATAGGGAGGGGGTTAGGAAGGATAAGAGAGAAAAGGTGTGTTTTAAGGTGCTTTTGGAACTGTGTCAGGGAAGTTGCGGAACGGAACTGCACAGAAAGCCCTGTCGCCAAAGGTCTAGAGTCTGGTACGGGGGATGGAAAGTAAGTTCTTGCTGGTGGAGCGCAGGGAGAATGTATGGCAGAACAGATGGCAGCGTGGATGGAGAAGGGATGGGGGGGTGGATGGGAGCGTGGATCACTGTTAATTTCGTCAACCAGGATGATGATGAAAATATTTCGTCAATGCCCCTTTTTCCCGTGACAAAGACGGCACAATGATGCAAAACTTTTTTCCAGAAAATAAAAATATGACGAAAATAAAACATTATTTTCGTTAACGAGACTAAAACCAGACAAAATTTACGAGCCATGGACGAATGGACATTAAGACATGTAATTGTTTATAATTAATTTGTAATTGTTAATATAAGTGTTTCTTGAACTTCGTAGATTACGCGTTGTTGCCCTGTTTGTCCCTACATGGCACCTGTCCCTCAGTGCCTCGCGCCGCTCAGTCAGTAGTAGCAGAGGGCTAATTATACTCCTAAATCAACTTCGCAGTCATGGCGTAGGGCTCGGANGCATTCAAACCATGACGTCTTGGTGTATTACCAACAGTAACCATGGAAACGGTGGTCCCAGCTGTAGCTCTGGGCTGATTTCTCACCTTTCTTAGGATCAATGATCCCCTCCAGGTGAGATCCTGCATGGAGCTCCAGTCTGAGGGAGACTGGCCGTCAGGTTTAGCTTCGTCCATTTTCTACTGAAGCTCCAACAGCGGAGCTTTTTCCACCAGGCTGGTTGGTTATTTCCCTGCAGCCTGTCCAGCCTGGTGGAGGAGGACATTTTGGTCTCTGGTGTCTTTGGACAGCTCTTTGGTCTGGGCCATGTTAGCTGCTCTAACTGGTGGTCTGCGGTGGACAGGTGTCTTTATGCAGCTGACCACCTCAGACAGGAGCATCTAGTTTAGGAGAATAAATGGAGGCGGACATCTGGAAGGCAGACTAACAGGACTTTGAGGGTCAGTTTTAGCTGATAGATGTTCAAATACTGATTAACAGCTTAATCATGGACATAGTAAAAACCTTTGCATTGTGATTTTTATAGATTATGTATCTCACAGCAGACATGCACCTATGATATTTTCAGACCCTCCATGATTTCTAAGTTTGAGAATTTGTAAAATAGCAGGATGTTCAGGTACTTATTCTCCTCACTGTACTGTGTGGAAATATGGAGTAACGGCTATAAAACCTTACAGCGACGGAAGGCAGGATTCCACCATCATGCTAACATTATAGAGTCCTGTCTCCTCCAGATAACATCTGGAAGGATAAGTATCAATTCTTCATTCACCTTTTCAGACAATTTACATTATCAATAATAAAATGAATCAATGATCATTATTCATGATCAGTGTCAGATCTAAGGCTACACTGGTTCAGTTTATTATCGGAACATTTTGTTTATTA